CTATCAATTATATGTTGACATAAAAATAATAACCCAATAAGTCCTGACTTTTAGGGCCACCATGTACAGAGGACAAAGCCCCCACCCCCGTGTGTCATCACCAAGAAGCCGCCAAACACCGTGGTGGTTGAATACGAGACGGTGGTGGCGATGGTCCTTGATGAATGACGCCACGAAGCAGTCCGTCAAGAGCCGCATGAGGCTCCTGACCCGAAGGTTGTCCACCCTCTGCGCTAACCGCTGCGCCACCGCTCCGCACCACCCACCCCCCCCCCCCTCATCCCCCCATGCCCCTCCCCCTCCCACCGTGCACGCAGCCGCTCGAACAATGAACACGCACTCGCACACGATGACTTTGAAATCATCGTTTATTATCATAGTTATTAAATAACTTAATAATTTAACATAAATAACAATGAACAGAAAAAAAAACCCGAAGCAACCCAGGAATATGCGATGTAACAAAACATTTAAATTCAAAAACAACATTTTAAAAAATATACTTGCTGACGGAATAAATCGACAAGAATGTGTGGTCACTCGCACACACACAGACACAGAGAGGAGAGACCACACGGACACAGAGAGAGACACAGAGAGAGAGAAGGAGAGAGAGACACAGAGAGACACCGAGAGACAGAGAGAGACACAGAAAGACAGAGAGAGACACAGAGAGACAGAGAGGCACAGAGAGACACAGAGAGACACAGAAAGAGAGACACAGAGAGAGACAGAAAGAGACAGAGAGACACAGATAGAGACACAGAAAGACACGGAGAGAGAGACGCAGAGAGAGACACACACACACAGAGAGAGAGACACACACAGAGAGAGAGAAAAACAGAGAGAGACACAGAGAGAGAGAGAGACAGAGAGAGACACACAGAGAGACACAGAGAGAGAGACACACGGAGAGAGACACAGAGAGAGACAGAGAAACACAGAGAGACAGAGAGAGACACACAGAGAGAGACACGCAGAGAGACACACAGAGAGACACAGAGAGACACAGAGAGAGACACACAGAGAGAGAGAGAAACACAGAGAGACAGAGAGAGACACAGAGAGAGACACACACACACAGAGAGACACACACAGAGAGACACAGAGAATGCCGTAGCGAGAGGCGGGCGCCACGAACGACCCTCCCAGGGCAAGTTGGGGGGGGGGGGGACAGCGAAGGCAGCGGTGGTGGCTTTGTTGGAGAACCACACACACACATATACACACACACACATACACACACATACACACACACACATACACACACATACACACACATACACACACACACATACACACATACACACACACACATACACACACACACATACACACACACACATACACACACACACATACACACACATACACACAACACACATACACACACATACACACACATACCACACACACATACACACACACATACACACACACAGCAGCAGCGGGTGGTGGTGAGGGAGTGGGTGAGTGAGAGGGTGAGTGAGAGGGTGAGTGAGTGGGTAAGAGAGAGGGTGAGTGAGAGGGTGAGTGAGTGGGTGAGAGGGAGAGAGTGGTGAGTGAGAGGGTGAGTGAGAGGGTGAGTGAGAGGGTGAGTGAGTGGGTGAGAGAGAGAGAGTGGTGAGTGAGAGGGTGAGTGAGAGGGTGAGTGAGTGGGTAAGTGAGAGGGTGAGTGAGAGGGTGAGTGAGTGGGTGAGAGGGAGAGAGTGGTGAGTGAGAGGGTGAGTGAGAGGGTGAGTGAGAGGGTGAGTGAGTGAGAAGGTGAGTGAGAGGGTGAGTGAGTGAGAGGGTGAGTGAGTGAGAGGGTGAGTGAGTGGGTAAGGAGAGAGAGTGAGTGATAGGGTGAGTGAGACGGTGAGTGAGAGGGTGAGTGAGAGGGTGAGTGAGAGGGTGAGTGAGTGGGTGAGAGAGAGAGAGAGTGGTGAGTGAGAGGGTGAGTGAGAGGGTGAGTGAGAGGGTGAGTGAGTGGGTGAGAGAGAGAGAGTGGTGAGTGAGAGGGTGAGTGAGAGGGTGAGTGAGTGGGTAAGTGAGAGGGTGAGTGAGAGGGTGAGTGAGTGGGTGAGAGGGAGAGAGTGGTGAGTGAGAGGGTGAGTGAGAGGGTGAGTGAGAGGGTGAGTGAGAGGGTGAGTGAGTGAGAAGGTGAGTGAGAGGGTGAGTGAGTGAGAGGGTGAGTGAGTGAGAGGGTGAGTGAGTGGGTAAGAGAGAGAGAGTGAGTGAGAGGGTGAGTGAGACGGTGAGTGATAGGGTAAGTGAGAGGGTGAGTGAGAGGGTGAGTGAGTGGGTGAGAGGGAGAGAGTGGTGAGTGAGAGGGTGAGTGAGAGGGTGAGTGAGAGGGTGAGTGAGTGAGAAGGTGAGTGAGAGGGTGAGTGAGTGAGAGGGTGAGTGAGTGAGAGGGTGAGTGAGTGGGTAAGAGAGAGAGTGAGTGAGAGGGTGAGTGAGACGGTGAGTGAGAGGGTAAGTGAGAGGGTGAGTGAGAGGGTGAGTGAGTGGGTGAGAGAGAGAGTGGTGAGGTGAGAGGGTGAGTGAGAGGGTGAGTGAGAGGGTGAGTGAGAGGGTGAGTGAGTGAGAAGGTGAGTGAGAGGGTGAGTGAGTGAGAGGGTGAGTGAGTGAGAGGGTGAGTGAGTGGGTAAGAGAGAGAGTGAGTAAGAGGGTGAGTGAGACGGTGAGTGAGAGGGTAAGTGAGAGGGTGAGTGAGAGGGTGAGTGAGTGGGTGAGAGAGTGGTGAGTGAGAGGGTGAGTGAGAGGGTGAGTGAGAGGGTGAGTGAGTGAGAAGGTGAGTGAGAGGGTGAGTGAGTGAGAGGGTGAGTGAAGTGAGAGGGTGAGTGAGGGGGTGAGTGAGAGGGTGAGTGAGTGAGAGGGGGAGGCTGAGGGTGAGTGGGTGGGTGAGTGAGTGAGAGGGTGAGTGAGAGGGTGAGTGAGAGGGTGAGTGAGTGAGAAGGTGAGTGAGAGGGTGAGTGAGTGAGAGGGTGAGTGAGTGAGAGGGTGAGTGAGAGGGTGAGTGAGTGAGAGGGTGAGTGAGTGAGAGGGTGAGTGAGGGGGTGAGTGGGTGGGTGAGTGAGTGAGAGGGTGAGGGACAGGGTGAGTGAGAGGGTGAGGGGGAGGGGGAGGGTGAGGGTGAGCGGTGGGTGGGTATCAACACTGACAAGTAAAAAAATAAAAATCCGAACATCACCAGGACACGACAGCATTTTACAAAACCCATCGCGAAATGAAACACCCACGACCACCACTCGTGACCTTGTGCGCCATTCTCACCGGCGTCAGCTGGAGCATTGGCCTCGCGCGTTGTATAACAACAACAACAACAACAGCAACAACAACAACAATGTCAACAACAAGAAAACAAAACGCTATAAACAGCCGACGGACAGCCTCCCCGTGTGGCACCAACGATACACGGCGGCGGCTGTGTGGGTGTGTGTCCGTGAGGTCGACTCAGCCTCAAATGAGTACCTGGTGCTACTGTGCGGAGTAAACGTCTCCACTGGGGAGACAAAGGCGGCCGGGCGTGGTTTTGCCCACCCCCCACCCCCCTCGTGTGCCGTTCCCAGGCCTTCGTAGGTGCTGCTCGCTAACAGCACTTGCCCCAACAGTCTGTTACAGGCTATACGGGGGATCTTTGTCTTTGTGTGTGTGAGAGATTAAGAGTTTAACGCCACATCAAGTGAACGTCCAAGTGCTCCGTCATAATCACCCCCCCCCCCCCACAATGACCCCCAGGCGTGAGACGGCACAATCATCCAGCAGTGGATTGAGCAACGCAGCGGCAATGACCCCTGATCGACAATAATATTATTAACATTATTATCAATAGTAATATCATCATCATCATCACCACGATATCCCGAACATCTCTCAGTCCAACATTTGCTGTTCGTCACGCACCAGGCACTTAAGTCTCGCGTCGCCGTCAGTGTAAATAAACAACAACAACAACAACGACAACAACAACAACGGCGGCGACGGTCATCGTGAGCACGCAATATCACACCGGGGCACAGACACGGGGCGCGACAATTTTTTGGTATATTCTTGCAAACTCCGCTGCCTTCCCTGCGCACTTTCAACAGGCGGTGGCTACGTTACACCGTGGGGCTTTTGACTTTGCGTGTGTGTGTGTGGGCGCGTGTGTGTGTAGGCGTGTGTGTGTGCGCGTGTGTGTGTGTGTGCGCGTGTGTGTGTGGGGGCATGCGTGTGTGTGTGCGTGCGTGTGTGTGTGCGCGTGTGTGTGTGGGCGTGTGTGTGTGTGCGCGCGTGTGTGTGTGTGGGCATGTGTGTGTGTGGGCGTGTGTGTGCGCGTGTGTGTGTGTACGCGTGGTGCTCGCTAACAGCACTTGTCCCTATAGTCTGTTAAGGCTATACAGGGGATCTTTGTCTTTGTGTACGCGTCTGTGTGCGCGTGTGTGTGCATATACACACGTGGGGTTGCGTAACGGTGAAGACCCGCTCACGGCCAACACCGGTGACGATTATCTCCACCGGTCCTGGGCCTCCCTTAGGTCGGCTCAGCCTCAAAATTAGTACCTGGTGCGGTGTGTTAACATCGCCACTGGGGAGACAACGGCGGTCAGGAGTGGGGCTGGCCACCCACCCCCTCGTGTGCCGTGCCGGCCTTCATAGGTGCTACTCTCTAACAGCACTTGCCCCAACAGTTTGTTAAGGCTACACGGGGGATCTTTGTCATTGTCATATAAACAAGTAAATGACTTGTCGTATCCAAGTCATAGGCACAAGGATTGACACAAGAGGCGGGTGGCTGTGCGCGTCGATACGCATCCGTGCGTGTGCGTGTGCGTGCGTGTCGAATTCGGTGCGTGCGCGTGTGTGCGTGTGTGTGTGTGCGTGTGTGTGCGTGTGCTCAGTGCTCACGTTAATAGGCGCTCGCTAACAGCAGCTGCTCCTTGTGTGTGCGTGTGTGTGCGTGTGCGTGTGTGTGCGTGTGTGTGGGTGTGTGTGTGTGCGCGTGCGCGTGTGTGTGCGTGTGCTCAGTGCTCACGTTAATAGGCGGCGCCTATTAACGTGAGCACTGAGCACACGCACATTAGGCGCTCACTAACAGCAGGTGCTCCTTGTGTGTGCGTGCGCGTGTGTGCGTGTATGTGCGTGTGTGTGCGCGCGCGCGTGTTCATGCGCGCGCGCGTGTGTGCGCGTGTGTGCGTGTGTGTGCGTGTGTGTGCGCGCGCGCGTGTGTGCGTGCGTGTGTGTGCATGGCTGCGTGTGTGTGTGTGTGCGTGTGTGTGTGTGTGCGTGTGTGCTCGCGCGCGTGTTCATGCGCGACGGCACGTGACACTTCACGCACGAACACGTTCAATGGACGCGTTCGAGACGCACTCACGCAGACCAAACTGCGCCCACCGGTGCCAGGCTGGGTGCACCACGCGTCGCGGCGTCGCGTGGTCAGCTGCAGCAGTCGCCTCTCGCGTACAAAGTTAAACTAACAACACCGTCACCTACACCATCATCACCATCACCACCATCACCAACGGCATCATCGTCGTCGTCGATCAAAGTCACAAGGGTTCCTTCTTCTCTTTCGCTGGAGGAGAAGGGGTCATCGACACGTCGTCGTCGTCATCATCGTCACCGCCGCCACCACCACCACCACCATCATCATCGTCACGCTCATCATCGTCCTCGCGAGCACGAGCTCTGATGGACGACGACTCGCATCCGCACTTGCAGCCCCTCGTCCCCACGGCCTTGCCAGGGCTCACGTCTCCTGCCACTGGAGCGGTTACCGCTGCTACAACACCACCGACACCGCCACCACCGACACCACCACCGCCAACAACAACAACAGCAGCACCACCGCCAACACCTCCTCCACCTCCACCTCCTCCACCACCGCCGCCGCCAATCGCCTTCCCTTCCTTCTTGTGCTTGACGCGCCGGTTCTGGAACCAGATCTTGACCTGCTTCTCGGAGAGGTTCAGGTACGTGGCGATCTCGATGCGTCGCAGGCGCGACAGGTATCGGTTGGAGGAGAATTCTCTCTCGAGCTCCAGGAGCTGCGTGCTCGTGAACGCCGTGCGCATACGCTTGCTGCTGCTGCTGTTGCTCAGAACTCCGCCACCATCGGCGCCTGCGACACAGAGAGAGGTGGGGCGGCGAGGGGGGGGGGAGAAGGGGTCGATTGCGTTAGGGGTCGGTGGTTCGGCACGCGGGTGTGTGCGTGTCTGTGTGTGTTCCTGTGTGTGTGTGTCTGATTGTGCGGAGCGGTGTTGTAGCGCTTGACGCTGCGCTACGAACCCGGCGACCCGAGTTCGATTTCTGCTCACGGCTAACAACACCCAGTGACGATTATCTGAACCGGTTCTGGGCCTCCATAGGTCGACTCAGCCTCAAATGAGTACCTGGTGCGGTGTGTGGTAAACATCGCCACTAGGGAGACAAAAGCGGTCGGGCGTGGTGCTGGCCACCACACACCCCCCCTCGTGTACCGTTCCGGCCTTCATAGGTGCTCGCTAACAGCACTTGCCCCTACAGTCTGTTAAGGCTACACGGGTATTTTTGTCTTTGTGTGTTGGAGGAGGTGGTGGAGGGAGTGAGGAAGAGGGGGGGGGGAAGGTAGCGTAGTGGTTGGCGCACTGCGCTTCCAAATCGACCACCTGAGTTCGATTCCGGGCGAGGGATGTCTGCACTGGTCATGGGCAATCACACTGCTCGGTCGAAGAATCAGCCTCAAAGTAACGTGAGCACTGTAGGGAGACGAAGGCGGCTGGGCGTTGTGGAATCGAATGCAGGTAAGCCGGGAATGTAAGGCAAATTACTCTTTGCCGTTTGACAAAACTACAATTGCATGATTTGTGTTTAAACACACACGTACATTCACGTGGTTTATGGCGCATTGCTAGCGCGCAAAGAAGTGCGTTATTCAGACAGCACTCAAATGTCTGTCTGTGTGTGTCTGTGTGTCTGTGTGTCTCTGTGTCTCTGTGTCTCTGTGTCTCTCTGTCTCTGTGTCTCTCTGTCTGTCTGTCTCTCTGTCTGTGTGTCTCTGTGTGTCTCTGTCTGGCTGTGTGTCTGTGTGTCTGTGTGTCTCTGTGTCTCTGTGTCTCTCTGTCTGTCTGTCTCTCTGTCTGTGTGTCTCTGTCTGTGTGTCTGTGTGTGTGTGTCTCTCTCTGTCTGTCTGTGTGTCTCTGTCTGTGTGTGTGTCTTTGTCTGTGTGTGTCTCTGTCTGTCTGTGTGTCTCTGTCTGTCTGTGTCTCTGTATGTCCGTGTGTCTCTGTCTGTCTCTCTGTCTGTGTGTCTCTCTCTGTCTGCCCGTTCACCTGTTTGCTCCGCATCAAAAGCGAATGAGAACGAACCAAATAGTGCTTTGCCCTTTTTTTTTGCAAACACCGGTGGTACAGTTTAAAAGTTGGCTACCGACAGCACAGCCGCTCCCGAGCCGCATAATTAAGTGCATAATTAATTGGCTAGTCACATTAATAATTAATTATCAATGCATTTTAATTAACGCACGACAGCACGCGGACTCGCTTTTCATCGCCCGCGTGCTGCGTGCTCGCGACAGCGCACGCCGACAGCCGCCTCCGCCAGAACCTTTCAGAATACTTTACTAAAGCCAGCTTTTAAAGCTTTCGTGACTGCAGGGATTCATCTTCTTGGTTCTTTCGGTAAAGTCACGTAGAAGGGAAGTAATAAAATAATAAAAATAAAACATAATAAAATAATTCTCACGACGTTTCGGCCACAACGCAAGCAGCCGTTATTACTTCCCTTCTACGTGACTTTACCGAAAGAACCAAGAAGATAAAGCCAGCTCACCTACCACTCTACGAATACAGCACCACGTCCAATATGCACACACACACATATATATATATATATACTTGTACACAAAGTAGCTTCAGCAGTTACGTCCAAACGTGAGCGCGCGCGACGTCACGCGCCTACGTCGCGGTCCGCACGTTGTCAAATCCACCTCGCCCGTGACGGCGCGCGCGCCAGTCGCGTGTGATGAACGATTTTCCTTCCAACTTTCGGCCGATTTCTCAAGAAAAGCAGCGGCTGTCGAGGTTCTAGGGGAGCGCCGCTATGAGATGCTCGTGGCATTTGACTCGATTCATCGATGAATCGTCGAGAAACTTTAATGCGTAAAACGCGGGAGGTTGAGAGCCCTTGCTTCGGCTGGCAGCAAAGAGATTCAGTCGCGCCGCGCGCGTTTAACCGCCGCTGCCTTACGCATCTTAAGCAGACCTCTCCACGCAACGTACAAAGATAGAGATCCCTGACTCAGTATAGCCTCACCAGAGACTGTTGGGGCAAGTGCTGGTTAGCGAATCGCAACTATAAAGGCCGACATGCCACACGAGGGGGCGGGTGGCCAGCATCACGCTTGGTCTACTTTGCATTCCCAGCGGCGAGGTTTACACACCGCACTAGGTACTTATTTGAGGCCGAGTCGACCTAGGAGAGGCCCACGACCGGTTTAGATAATCGTTATTGCTGTTTGGTGGCCGTCGGCGGGAATCGAACTCGGGCCGCCGGCTTCGAAGCGCTCCAATGCCGCTCCCCGCGTGATCTCATCATCACACGCGTGTGGATAACGCAGATTATTCACGGAGGCACAGGCACACGCACACGGGCGCGCGTGACATCAGACGAAACGACCGTGACAGCGCGCGCGATGTGCGTGTATGTGCGTGTCCCTGAGAGTACGTGCCTATCTCGGTGTGAGTGTGTCTGTCTGAGCGCCAGGTGAGCTCTGTAAACATAAGCTCTAGGGAGACAAAGGCGGCCGGGCGTGGTACTGGGTCACCCACGGCCTCGTGTGCCGTGCCGGTCTTCATAGGTGCTCGCTAACGGCACTTGCCGCAACCGTATGTTAAGGCTATACGGGGGATCTTTGTCTTTGTATCTCGACGCGTCTCCGTGTGTATCTTTGTGTTTATGCATGTCTCTATACGTGTCCGTGCGTGTCTGTAATTATCTATGTGTGTGTGTCGATGTATCTCCGTGCGTGTTTCCGTCAATACGTCTCGATGTGTCTCCGTAAGTCTCTGCGCGTGTTGTCTCTACGCGCCTCCGTGCGTGTCTGTATGTATCTCTGTGTGTGTGTGTCGATGTGTCTCCGTGCGTGTCTGTGTGTGTGTGTGTGTCTGCGCGTGGTGTCTCTTCGCGCCTCCGTGCGTGTCTGTGTGTATCTCTGTGTGTGTGTGTCGATGTGTCTCCGTGTCTATGTGTCTCTGCGCGTGGTGTCTCTACGCTCCTCCGTGCGTGTCTGTATGTATCTCTGTATGTGTGTATCGATGTGTCTCCGTGCGTGTCTGTGTGTGTGTGTGTCTCTGCGCGTGGTGTCTCTACGGGCCTCCGTGCGTGTCTGTATGTATCTGTGTGTGTGTGTCGATGTGTCTCCGTGTGTGTCTGTGTGTGTGTCTCTCTGCGCGTGGTGTCTCTACGCGCCTCCGTGTCTGTGCCTGTGTGTCTGTGCGTGTGTGTATCGATGTGTCTCCGCGCGTGTCTGTCTGTGTGTCTCTGTGTGTGTGTGTATCGATGTATCTGTGTGTGTGTGTGTGTGTCTGTGTGTGTGTGTCGATGTATCTCTGTGTGTGTGTGTGTCGATGTGTCTCCGTGCGTGTCTGTGTGTGTCTCTGTGTGTGTGTGTATCGATGTATCTGTGTGTGTGTGTGTCTCTGTGTGTGTGTCGATGTATCTCTGTGTGTGTGTGTGTGTCGATGTGTCTCCGTGCGTGTCTGTGTGTGTCTCTGTGTGTGTGTGTGTGTCGATGTATCTGTGTGTGTGTGTCTCTGTGTGTGTGTGTCGATGTATCTCTGTGTGTGTGTGTGTCGATGTATCTCTCTGTGTGTGTGTCTCTGTGTATGTGTGTGTCTCTGCGTGCGGACCAGCCCGCCCTTCACCCACCGAGCGGAAGGCAGTGATGGAACCCGGGTCCCGGCATCGCGTAGGCGGGCGCGCAGAGGCCGTGCGATGGGTTGGGCGGCACGCAAGGTCCTTGCGGCTGCTGCCCGCCGCAGTAGGGGGCCGGCACCCTCTCGGCGAAGGGCGACTTGAGCAGCGCGTGGTGCGACAGGGAGCCCATCGCGCCTCCGCCGACGCCTGTGATCGAAGCCATGGCGCCTCCACCCCCGGCGGTCCGCATGCACAGGGGGCAGACGCAGAATCCCGCTGCGGCTGCTGCTGCTGCTGCTGCTGCGGCTGCTGCTGCTGCGGTAGACGAAGGAGAAGACGCAGCTGCTGCTGCTGCTGCTGCCACCGCCGCTGCTATTGTTGTGGCTGCTGCTGTTGTAGTCGGAAGTTGCGGAGGTGGTGGTGGTGGGGGGAGAGTTTTGCGCATGTGGCTGGGGCTCAAGCCGGGCGGGGAGTGCGCGCCGTGCATGTCGAAGTGGAGCGGTGGCAGCATGCTGCTGGTGTGGTGCTGGTGGTGGTGATGGTGGTGCAGGTGGTGCTGCTGCTGCTGCTGATGATGGTGGTGGTGGTGGTGGAGGCTGTCCAGTGGGGAGCGGCCGGGGCGCAGTGGGTCCTTGACGATGAGCGAATCGACGAGGAAGGAACGCGACATCGCCCCGGTTGTCGTTTAAAAAAAACAAACACAAATGAATTTTAAAAGAACAAAATCGAAGTCCACTGAAAGAAAGGTTCGAGTTATGTATTGGCTGCGAAGAGGTTGGCCGTCCTGCCCTGCCCTGCGGTGTCTGCGCGCACACGCACGCACTCTCTGCCGGATTGGAAACTCCCTCTCTACCTCCTCGCGAGACGAGAGAGAGAGAGAGACAGCGAGCGGCGGGGTGGGTGAGCTGCTACTGCTGCTGCTACTGCTGATGCTGCTACTGATGCTGATGCTGCTACTGCTGCTGATGCTACTGCTGCTACTGATGCTGCTGCTGCTGCTGCTGCTACTGCTGCTGTTGATGCTGCTGATGCTGCTACTGCTGCTACTGATGCTGCTGCTGCTGCTGCTGATGCTGCTACTGCTGATGCTACTGATGCTGATGCTGCTGCTGCTGCTGCTGCTACTGCTGCTACTGAAACTGATGCTGCTGCTGATGCTGCTGCTGCTGATGCTGCTGCTGATGCTGCTACTGCTGATGCTACTGACGCTGATGCTGCTGCTACTGCTGATGCTACTGATGCAGATGCTGCTGCTGTTATAGCTGATGCTGCTACTGATGTTGCTACTGATGCTGCTGATGCTGCTGATGCTGATGCTGCGGATGCTGCTGCTACTGCTGCTGATGCTGCTGCTACTGCTGCTGATGCTGCTGATGCTGCTGATGCTGCTGCTGATGCTGCTGCTGCTGATGCTGCTAGTGATGCAGATGCTGCTACGAGATGGACTCCATCCGCAGCCCGAGGAAGGAGCAGGTAGTTGCGCGTGGCTCCGAGCCGTGCGCCGAGACAGCGTCTCTGTAGCCTGCGCGCCACGCAGCGCACCTATTTAATGGCACCATTAGCATGGGAGGGGGGCATGGCGAGCATTAGCTCACAGCGGCGCCAATGGATTCTTGCAAACTGCTTTCACTTTTTTTTGAGAGGGGGGGCGGGAGGCGGTGGGTGGGGGGGGGATTTGGGAAAGTGTGGTGGGGGGGGGTCTGCCCATTATTGGAGTGGGGTGCGAGTGGAGGATGGAAGGCAGCGGGGGAGGGAGGGAGGGAGGCGCGGGGAGGGGTCAAACGATGTTTTAAAGACACGGAGCTCATTTTCTTTCTATATAATTTTTATTCACAGAAAGGGCGAGCGAGCGAGCGAGAGAGCGAGAGAGAGAGAAAGAGGGTTTTTGTTTTGTTTTGTTTCTTTAAGACGGAGAAGAGATTGAGTGTTGGGCTTTAAGCGAAAAAGGGGAGTGGGGTGGAGATGCGTTTGCTGTATGCACGTGCGCGCGCGCGTGCGTGTGAATGCGCGTGCGTGTGAATGCGCGTGCGTGTGTAATGTATCTGTGTGTGTGTGGGGGGGGGGGGCGCTTTAAATGTTGGAGGATTTTCTTTCTCCGTGCCCGATGCAGGTGCATGCGTGTATTGTGTATGCGTGTACCTATGTGCGTGGACTTATCGGGCTTGTGCGTGCGAGACGGAGTGCACGGCTGCAGTGGAGCGGTGGTGCAGCGGTTTGCGCCACGCTGCGCTACAAACCCGGCAACTGCGGGTTCGATTCCCGCTCACGGCCAACACCACAGTGACGATTATCTGAACCGGTCCTGGGCCTCCTCCCCTAGGTCGACTCAGCCTCAAATGAGTCACTGGTGCTGCGTGTAAACATCGCCGCTGGGAAGACAAAGGCGGCCGGGCGTGGTGCTGGCCACCCACCCCCTCGTGTGCCGTGCCTGCCTTTACAGGTGCTCGCTAACAGCACTTGCCCCTAGAGTCTGTTAAGGCTACACGGAGGATCTTTGTCTTTGTGTGTATGCGTGTGTATGGGGAGCGGTGGCACAGTGGTTAGCGCGCTGCGCTATGAACCCGGCGATTCCCGCTCACGGTGACGATCCTGGGCCTCCTCCCCTAGGTCGACTCAGCCTCAAACGAGTTCCTAGTGCGGTGCGTAAAAACATCGTCACTAGGGAGACAAAGGCGGCCGGGTGTGGCGGTGCTGGCCACCCACCCCCTCGTGTGCCGTGCCGTCATTTACAGGTGCTACTCGCTAACAGCACTTGCCCCGACAGCCTGTTAAGGCTACACGGGGGGTCTCTGTCTTTGTTGCGTGTGTGTGTGAACCTCAACTGATGGAGAAGTCATGGTGTTTTTTTTTCTGTGTGCAGTTGCATGTATCACACACATATACATGTGTGTGTGGAAATATATGTGTGTGTGTACTATTACTGCAGTGCGTGTGTAAATGCAGTCGTATAGTTTTATAAAAAAAATACTGCATTGTGCGCTCTGCTTACAAGTGAGCATTTGTCAATGTGTGCGTGTGTGTAAATGGGACTCGTATGATTGAGATATAATATCTCTCTGTGAGTATGAATACAGGTACACACATATATAGATGTATGTGTATACAGTCTACATGTATACACTTGCGCGCACCTGTGAATGTGAGTGTCGGCTTTGTTACGCAGTGTGCGTAACGCGTGCGTATGTGTGAGTCGCTTCACACACTCACGACTCGCATCAGTGCCTCCCCTAGGTCGACTCAGCCTCATAAACGAGTAGGCAATCATCACCGCGGGGACAAAGGCGGTCGGGCGCGGTGCTTGCCACAACACCACCACCACTACCCCTCGTGAGCCGCACTTTCCCCGACAGCCTCGAAAGGTTATCCGGGTGATCTTTGCCTGTGTGGCGTCTTTAATGTGTACGTGTGTGTCTATACGTATGTGTTAATGTATGTATGCATGCTACATGCGTACGTATGTATTTGTGTATGCATGCGTGTTGTGTGTGTGTGTCTATATGTGTGTATTCATGTATGTGTGTGCATAAACGTATGTATGTTGTGTGTGTCTATATGTATGTATTTTTGCACGCATGTTGTGTATGTGTGTGTCTATATGTATGTATTTTTGCATGTTGTGTGTTCCGTTCCTACCTGGCGATGTGACCTTAATAGTCGCTCGCTAACAGCACTTGCTTCCTTTATATATGCATGCTGAACTTCTTTCGCGCCGTACGTAGCCTACCGTGCAAATCGCAGGTGTGAATGTGTGTGTCTGTGTGTGTGTTTATGTGTGAACGTGTGTGTGTGTGAGTGTGTGTGTGTTTGTGTGTGAATGTGTGTGTGTCTGAATGTGTCTGTGTGTTTGTGTGTCTGTGTGTGTGTCTGAATGTGTCTGTGTGTTTGTGTGTGTCTGTGTGTGTCTGTGTGTGTGTTTGAATGTGTCTGTGCGGGGAGCGGTGGTGCAGCGGTTAGCGCTACGCTGCGCTACGAACCCGGCGACCCGAGTTCGATTCCCGCTCACGACCAATGACAGTGACGGAGAATATTTGTAACCTCTCCTAGGTCGACTCAGCCTTGGGGAGACAAAGGCGGCCGGGGGCTGTGTTGGCCCCCCACCCTCTCGTTACCACATACGACCTTAATATGAGCTCGCAAACACCACTTGCTGCTTTGTTCTTATCGATATGTATCTATAAAGACAAAGATCCCCCGTATAGCCTGAACAGACTGTTGGGGCAAGTGCTGTGAGCGAGCAGCACCTTATGAAGGCCGGCACGGCACACGAGGGGGTGGGTGGCCAGCCCCACGCCCGACCGCCTTTGTCTCCCCAGTGGCGATGTTTACACACCGAACCAGGTACTCATTTGAGGTTGAGTCGACCTAGGGGAGGCCCAGGACCGGTTCAGATAATCGTCACTGTGGTGTTGGCCGTGAGCGGGAGTCGAACCCGGATAGCCGGGTTCTATAGCGCAGCGCGCTGACCGCTACACTACCGCTCCCCACACCACGCCGTACACACACACCCACACACGCGTCTATGTACGTACGTGTGTGTCTGTTCGCACGTGTGTGTGTCTGTACGGGTGTGTCTGTACGTGTGTGTGTGTCTGTACGTGTATGTCTGTACGTGTGTGTGTGTGTCTCTGTACGCACGTCTGCGTGTGTACGCACGTGTGTGTGTGTCTCTGTACGCACGTGTGTGTGTGTGTCTGTACGTGTGTGTCTGTACGTGTGTGTGTGTCTCTGTACGTGTGTGTGTGTGTGTCTCTGTACGCACGTGTGTGTGTGTGTCTGTACGTGTGTGTGTGTCTCTGTACGTGTGTGTCTGTACGTGTGTGTTTGTACGTGTGTGTGTGTCTGTACGTGTGTGTGTGTCTGTACGCACGTGTGTGTGTGTCTCTGTACGCACGCGTGTGTGTGTACGTGTGTGTGTGTCTGTACGTGTGTGTGTGTCTGTACGTGTGTGTGTCTGTATGCACACGTGTGTGTCTGTACGTGTGTGTGTGTCTGTACGTGTGTGTGTGTCTGTACGTGTGTGTGTGTCTGTATGCACACGTGTGTGTCTGTACGTGTGTGTGTGTCTGTATGCACACGTGTGTGTGTGTGTACGCACGTGTGTGTGTGTCTCTGTACGCACGCGTGTGTCTGTACGTGTGTGTGTGTGTCTGTACGCACGTGTGTGTGTCTCTGTACGTGTGTGTGTCTATGTACGCACGTATGTGTGTGTACGTGTGTGTCTGTACATGTGTGTGTGTATACGTGTGTGTCTGTACGTGTGTGTCTGTACGTGTGTGTGTGTCTGTACGTGTGTGTGTCTGTACGTGTGTGTGTGTGTCTGTACGTGTGTGTGTGTACGTGTGTGTCTGTACGTGTGTGTGTGTCTGTACGTGTGTGTGTCTGTACGTGTGTGTGTCTATGTACGCACGTATGTGTTTGTACGTGTGTGTCTGTACGTGTGTGTGTGTGTACGTGTGTGTCTGTACGTGTGTGTGTACGTGAGTGTGTACGTGTGTGTCTGTACGTGTGTGTGTGTGTGTACGTGTGTGTCTGTACGTGAGTGTGTATGTGAGTGTGTACGTGTGTGTCTGTACGCACGTGTGTGTGTGTGTACGCACGTGTGTGTGTCTGTACGCACGTGTGTGTGTGTCTGTACGTGTGTGTCTGTACGTGTGTGTGTGTACGCACGTGTGTGTGTGTACGTGTGTGTCTGTACGTGTGTGCCTGTACGCACGTGTGTGTGTGTGTACGCACGTGTGTGTGTGTGTACGCACGTGTGTGTGTCTGTA